TGGTAACATGATTAAAAAATAAGAATTGTGGGCCGGGCGCGGTGGCTCAAGCCTGTAAGCACTTTGGGAGGCCGAGATGGGTGGATCGCGAGGTCAGGAGATCGAGACCATCCTGGCTAACACGGTGAAACCCCGTCTCTACTAAAAAATACAAAAAACTAGCTGGGCAAGGTGGCGGGCACCTGTAGTCCCAGCTACTCGGGAGGCTGAGGCAGGAGAATGGCATGAACCCAGGAGGCGGAGCTTGCAGTGAGCTGAGATCCGGCCACTGCACTCCAGCCTGGGCGACAGAGCGAGACTCTGTCTCAAAAAAATAAATAAATAAAATAAAATAAATAATAATAATAAGAATTGTGAATGTAAACAATGCTAAAAAGCACAGAGCAGAGTATCCAGGGATCTGAGTTCTGGCTCTAATTCTACCATGACATGACCACAAATAAGTTACTTACGCTCTTTGTACTCAATTTTCTCTTCTGCTAAATACAGGCAATGGATTAGTTCAGTGTTTCTCAAAGTGTATTCCATGGAGCATCACCAGATTCTTTCGTGTTAGTAGGTGTTACACAAAAAGGAGGGCCACAGCTAGGCCAGCTTTATGGGAATTGGAAAAGGGCGCCTTCAGAACACAGCTCAGCAAACTCATAGCTTAGCAAGAGGATGCAGCGAGGTAGAGAAAGATACCCTTTCTTCTGGCGGGTGAGTGGGGGTCCAGGCTGGATCTTATCTCCCACACTCCCACCGCCCATGCATCCTGTGCAGCACTGAACAGCTGCCCTGTCTATAGTCAAATAGCTTTGAGAAGTGGCTGGGTTAAGCAGGTTTTCTTCGGTACGAGATGTCTCAGTTTTAATATGCAAACATGCTGTGCTTTGAATCTCCAAGGAAAGAAAGTGATGTGTGGCATACATCTTATTGGACCTCAGAACGACTTTTTTGTGGGACTAGTGTTCCTTGGAACACAAATTGAGGAAAATTGAATTAGATTATCTTTACTAGTCTGTTATTCTATGAGTCCTTCTTATTCATGTTTCATTCTGATACATTTTCCTCCTTTAATAAAAATAAAGTCCTCACTACCACCACCATAATACCATGTCATCTCCAAATTGCTATCTATGGTTAAACATTCCCTTTGCCCCATTGCGTTATCACCAGGGGCTATTTTTGTGGGGGAGCATACCAGAACACTCTCCCTCAGGATTACGCAAACCTGAACAACATTCAAGAACTTTGTTTTTAAGAGGTGGCTGTCACCAGCGTAACAAAAGTTGTATTGTGTTTGAATCTACACTGGTGATACTTAATAATGTTCAAATCAAATGACATATGTGTTTACTTATAAATGTATATGTGTAAATGGTAATTATTAGTTTGTAGCTAATCATAATGTGATTTTGCCATTTTCTCCAACTCCTCCTGAATGTGAGGTAGGGCAGGAGTCCTGTTTCCTCTTGGATTCCTCTCTCTCATTTCTCTTGAATCATGTAGTCTGCAGGGTTGCGAAGAAATAATCAGTTCATAAACTGCGGCATAATCACCGTTACAGTGTTGAGTTCTTAGAGCTCAAACTATTCTGTTTATAAGCTACAAAAGCTATGGAAAGAAATTCATTCATATGAATAGAATGAATATCATTAATAAATATTAAATATTATTTGGTAAAATACTAATAGGTCAATACTAATACTAATGTGAATGGAGTGGTATCGTGGAAAAGAGTGCCAGTCCAAACCATTCATTTTTTAAAATAGAGTTTTGAGCTCATTCATGTGCACCTGACTATGAGCTGAATTTTTCTTTACATCAGAATTGGCAGCAGGCTTTTTAGGTTTTTCATAGTTTGGTTGGCAAGAAGTAGGACAGTAGCTCTTAGCTCTTAGTTGGAACATAGTCAGTGTTCACATATAATTCATGTAATATTTATGTTAACAAAATACTTTTTCTCACATAAACTTTATCACCTAAGAATATCTTTGGCTTTTGTTCCTGAGTAACTTTTTTTTAACATTTTCTTTTTTAATTCGAGTTGAGTTTGAGAGTGCAATCCTCATGCCAGTATGGAGGGTCATTTAGAACTTAGGAAATCAGTGGGGATACAATGCTCTATTTTGCAAAAATAGTATCCCATGCCAGATTTTGAGTTCTCTCAAAAATTCCCTCACCGATTGTTAGTGGCTGATTCTCAAAAATGAGCTCATGCGCTCAGCCTTGCTGCCAAAAATGGCTGAACGTGGTGGGGATTTGTTCACGTACTCAGGCAGCAGCGGTAGCGATGTGCACCATATGCCTGCTGCTAGTAACAACTGGTGAAGGCAGCGCCTCCAACATGGTTGAAAAGAACTCTGTTTTTGTTTTTTGTAATTTCAGTTTATGAATACTGATGTCAGTGGCTGCTGTTCCATTTGTCTCACTGCTTTTACTTTCTCTGTAAAAGATTTTTTTCTTCCTTTTGGGCTTAAGTACCACCTGAAGAGAGAAGCCTTTTAAGGCCTGGGAGACTGGCCAGTGCCCTCTGTCGCTCTGTTCACCTACTAAAAGGTAGCATTGTTAACCTAATTCAGCAGGGCCCTGACTCCATATAAACACTGCTCAATAGAGCCAGGAAGACTAATTGAATTGTACAATACATCATTTTTTAGCAACAGTTTCAAGTGGGTTGTACTTCATTTCCCAAAACACCATCAGTCTTTTCCTCATTTTAAGATATTTAAATATCGCAAATATTTAATCATGATAAATAAAATATTTAAACCCAATTCTTTCTTTCCCACCGAACTGTGGGCTCTTATACCTAAAGACAGGGCCATGCTTGTTTTATTCTCCACTGGATGCCTAATGCCTGCTACGGTATCTGGCATATACCTGTGTCTATTCATATATGCCTTAAAAATAAAAGTGAGGAATAACTGTTATTTCCAATCTGGTTAGATAGTTGAAGATTTTGGCTAATTCTAGTTGCCTCTTTGTGGCCTGGATTTTCAGAGACTGTAAACTTCTCTAATTCTGTAACTCTAACTCTGCAGGATGCTATAGGATCACACAACACAACAGGTACCTCAAAAATAATTGCTTATAAGGAAAAAAATTAGATGTTTATTTTTTAAATGATGTATTTTTTTGCATTCCTATAAAGAACAAAAACTTTGATATAAGCTTTGCAATATAAGAAAATGGTCATATTGAATTCTATGTTTATGTACAAGAAATTTATAATCAACATATAATAGCCATATATTTAATTATCACATATACATACAGAGGGGTTGTTATGTTTGTTTCTGCCTGTTGTACTCTCTTCTGTCCCGCATTTGTTCACCAAGTGAATATCTGTTTATCTTCTACACTCAGATCCAGTGCCACCTGCTTTGCCAACCCTCTCCCCACCAGGAGTGTTGATTTCTCCCTCCTCTAAGCTACCAGTGGGCCCCATCCATACCTCTTTTATAGCAGATGACAGGCTACATGCTGCATGTTACATGCGGTTTTGTTTTAAATATTTGTCTCATACTAAACAGTGAGCCACTTGAGGGTAGGAACTGTATCCTATATATCTTTATTAATATACTTCTAGCCTCGCATATGAAACATAGTAGATTTTTTATTTTCTTTTTAATAAGCAAAGTTTTTTATTTTAATGTTGAATTCTAACCTTGCTCCTAGAGAGATTTTAATGGGAACTTTTTAGAGAGGTTTTACTTTCCATAAATAGAAACTGAGCCAACTTTCTATGTATTTGTAGCCAATCTACATCTCACTATCAGTGATTGATATGTAGAGATTCTGAAAAATTACCCTCACTTTATGCATTATTTAAGCCACTCCCTCTGTATATCTGAGACATTGTGTTTCCATGTACTATTTATTTCTACTGATGACAATGACATTATAAAATGAACTTTCATAGTCTTGTGGATCACCATGGATTACTACTCGAGGTGGATACAGAATTGGATGGATATATTGGCTGGAGTTAGCCCAAGTTCAAAGTTGTAATAAGAGCAACTCCTTTCTGGTCACTGAAGCAGGATATTTGAGCTTGTTTGCTAGTCAGTCAGATTATTCTGCAAATAATATCCTTTTATCCCTCTTGAATGTTGTAATATGTACATGATTTACTCTTTTTTGTTTGTTTGTTTTTTAGACGGAGTCTCGCTCTGTTGCCAAGGCTAGAGTGCAGTGGCATGATCTTGGCACACTGCAACCCCCGCCTTCCGAGTTCAAGCAATTCTCCCACCTCAACCTCCCAAGCAGCTGGGATTACAGCCATGTGCCACCATGCCTGGCTGATTTTTGTATTTTTAGTAGAGACGGGGTTTCACCATGTTGGCCAGGCTGGTCTCGAACTCCTGACCTCAAGTGATCTGCCTGCCTCAGCCTCCCAAAGTGCTGTGATTACAGGCATGAACCACTACACCCGGCCTTGATTTGCCTATTTTTTAAGTGGCTACTTTTTAAAAGTCTTATGGAATATTCATACATATATATGCACATATAAATTTATGTCATTTTTTAAAATCTGGATTTGTATTAAGACAGTCTTCTTAATTAATTCCTTTTTTATTTTGAAATAATCGTGGATTCACAGGAAATTGCATAGACAATTCAGAGAGGTTCTGTGTACCTTTCACATAGTTTCCTCCCTTGGCTACATCTTAGGCAACTGAGGTACAATATCAAAAACAAAAACAGCAAATTGACATTGGTCTAATGGGTCAGTGTAATGGCACCATACTGTGCCCTTGTATCACATATGTAGGTTCCTATAATCACCACTGCAGTCAAGATGCAGAATTAATAAATTCCTTCCTAGCTTACAGTTGAATGTCTGGAAGAGAGAGAAGTCAAAATTTACATTTAATTCTACTACAGATTTTTTCATTTGTCTGTATTCAGAAAATAATGGTGTTCCTTTGATATATCAGCTATGGTTCCTAGTTTGAGCAAGTGTGGAGAGCCAGGTGCTTCTCCAGGACTGACTGACAACGCTTGTTTTGTAGGTGTCGAAGCAGGCCAAGGAGTTTCTGGAGTACGTGTACGAGGAGCCGCTCATCGACATCCAGCAGGAGAACGCCATGCTGTACCACCACGCAGAGCCGCTGGCCGCCGTGCTGCGGCTGCGGCAGCGGCTGAAGTCGCTCCGAGCCTATTTGTTCAGCTGCCGGGCAGCGGTGGCAGAGGATCTCCGCCGCAGGTAAGAGTCATAAATCTCAGACGGCTCCCGTTTGTTTTTCTTTCCCGCCCATGGAGGGTGGTGAGATGATCTGCAAAGGGCCTTTCCAGCACAGACCGCCTCTAATTCTGTGGCTCTCCCTCCGCCTCTCCACTGCCAGCCTCTCTCTGGGCTCATCTTTTTACTTTTTTTACTCCATGGTCCCCATTTGGTTAAGCCAAGCAAAATGAAAATAACATTCACCGTTACTGAAGGCTTTCACCCATGGATCGAGTGCCCAGGACGGTGAAGGCTTCTCTTACCAATATGTTAATTTGAGATAATAATCATGGAAGTATCTATATTGGTCACTTATGTAGTATTTTATACTTTTTCCAATTTCAATTCCTGTTTCTCATCAGCAAAAAATAAGCATGTTTAAAATAGTTCATAACTAAAAAGCATTTTCAATGGGAAATAAGTAAATGGTTATTTAAATTTTATTTTATTTTATGTATTTATTATTATTATTATTTTTTTAAAGAATATAGACAGAGACTCATTCTGTTGCCCAAGCTGGTCTTAAAATCCTGAACTCAAGCGATCCTCCTGCCTCAGCCTCCCAAAGTGTTGGGATTACAGGCGTGAGCCACTGTGTGGGCCTCAAATCTTATTTTCTGTGCAGAAACAAATACCCAAACTTGGTCAGTGATGCAGGCAGTAGAGCTATAATTAAAATGCACAGGCCCAGGATTCTGCCTTTTCATCTTACCGTGGGTGCAGGCTGCTTTCCCGTAACTTAGTTAGCTCATAGTTCATAGAACACCAAGTCCAAAGCAGGCTCAGATCCTTAAAGTTGAAACTAAAATGTGCCTGCTCTCATAAAATTCCTTTTTTACAGACAGATTTTATAGGCATTTAAAGTCTCACCCTTGGCGTATACAAACTAGCTTATACTTGAAATAATTGTTGATGGCGTTCATAAGTCTCTAAAAATACCTTTTAATTTTTTTGTTTTAATAGAAATGACCAGCCGCATGCATTAGTTATGTTAATGTTTTTGGAGGTAAGCCTACCTGCCTAAGAACCTTTGGAAAGTATTGAAGTGATGGAGTTTTGAGATCCAATTAGATCCAAAGAAACTGACATAACCCCAGGCATCTAAAAAGAACTAAATGTAGATAGTGAAGGATATATAATATCTAGACTAGCTCTCATAAAATAATAATGAAAAGACAGCTACCATAAAGCAAAATACTTCTCAGTGGTAGTCATTCTATTACCTAGTTGTTTTTCAGAAAGCACAGAAAGTGGTCAGGATTTATTCTTATAAAGTCTAGGCATATCTTAATTTTAAAAGATCAGGGCTTTCCTTGGAAGGCAGTAGAATTATATGTCTCAAACTAATTTACCAACCAAACCAGATACAAGATTTTTAATGTTCAAAGTATGTTCTATTATTTTCAGTACCTTTTGGCTTTGCTCAGAGCTTATTTTTCTTGTGCCTGTATTTCTAGACAATATTAAAATCTGTACATGGGAATCATGTTAGATACCTTTGTGGTATAATGTTTTGCTCTGCTTAAAATATGCCAAATCAAGGCACACATTTAGAAATTAAATAGAAGGTCCTCTCCTCATTTGGATGACTAAGAATCTCTACTCAATTCCAGCAGTCTGGTGGTTTACCACCATGTACTGTGCCTTATGGCCAGACCACCAGGAAAGAGATGGGAGTTCTAGAAACAAGGCACTCCCAAAGCTATGAGAATGAAGACAGCATTTTTCCCCTTCATTCTCCCTTTTCCCTATATTTTTCTTTCCTGGACTTGTTCATAACCATTATATAATGCAATGCCTGGCACAAGGTAGGTGTTCAGTAAGTACTGAATGGCTAGATGGAGGGAGGGATGGATGTATATTAAGCGTCACTTTAGACCACTGAGTAATGGCTAGTAGCCCAATTTTGGGGAGGGAATCATCTTCAGGGTCTTCTTTTTCTTACCTTCTTATTTTTCACTTAGCATAATGTCTGACCCATCCAAAACACTGAAAAATAGTTGTTGAGTGAATAAGCAAATGAATGAAGGAGCCATCAAATCAGTCCAAAAAATTTTAGATGGTTCTGTTTCTGAGATAACTCTCAAATCTTTCCTCTCCTGTTTACTTCTAATACACTACCCTGGTTGAGAATCTCAAGGCTATTGCAGTGTCCTTCTAACTAGCCTAACATTTCTTCCCTCTTCAATCCAACCTTTGCGTTAGATAAATTATTTAAAATAGAAGTATAGAATTCAAGATCTGCCTAAGTCTAACCCAGTATATTGTTCTACTCTCAAATACCCTGCCCTTCCGGCAAAAATTATTACTTTGCTCTCAAGGCATTCCCTTGTGGGAATTAAATGAGTTCACACAACTGAAGTGCTTAAAACAATGCTTGGACATAGTAAGCACACAGTAAACACTATTATTGCTATTAATATCACTTTCTTATCCTAGACTGTTCTTATATTTGACTTTTAAAATATCTGATACAATATTGCACTTAAAAGTCACCCCCTGTTATTCTATCTGCTAGAATTAATCCTCTTTTCCTGCTGCTATGTCAAGAAAGGAGTGAGCAAGGGAGAGTCGGATGGAACGCTAGCTGGGCCCAGGCCTGTAGTTTCTGCTTATACAGTGCATGCTTCTCCATGTGACCGCTTTCATAAAATGGGTGGAGGTGTCTCCCTACAAGCCAGCAATGAGACATTGATTCCTATGGAAACTGAGGAAGCACTGCTTTATTTTCAATTTTGTTATTTTGGATTTCCTATGCTTACGTGTTGTTAAAATGTTATTTAGGGTCACCATTTCTCTCAAACCTGAGGCAGAGAAAAGTGTGCTAGTAACAAGTAGTACTTTTACAGTTTTTGAGGGAGGAGGTAAGTTGAAGGGGCTGGTCTTGAATTTTTTTAAATCTTTTTTATTAAAAAATTTAAAATATAATTTTTAAAAATTGTTTTTCTAGCCACAACCAAGGATGATTTATTTTGAAATATGACTATTTAGTGAAATAACCTCCAAGAGTTTTGCTGGGGTGTCCATACTTCCTGCAGCCAGGCCACACTGTTTTTTTTTGAGACGGAGTTTCTCTCTTGTCACCCAGGCTGGAGTGCAGTGGTGCGATCTTGGCTCACTGCAACCTCCACCTCCCAGGTTCCAGCAATTCTCCTGCCTCAGCCGCCTGGGTAGCTGAGATTACAGGCATGTGCCACCACGGCTGGCTAATTTGTTTATTTTTAGTAGAGACAGGGTTTCACCGTGTTAGCCAGGCTGGTCTTGAATTCCCGACCTCAGGTGATCTGCCCACCTCAGCCTCCCAAAGTGCTGGGATTATAGGTGTCAGCCACCACACTCGGCCAGCCACTCTTCTTTTTTTTTTTTTTTTTTTTTGAGACAGAGTCTCGCTCTGTTGCCCAGGCTGGAGTGCAGTGGCATGATCTTGGCTCACTGCAACTTCTGCCTCCTGGGTTCAAGCGATTCTCCTGCCTCAGCCTCCTGAGTAGCTGGGACTACAGGCACCCGCCACCACACCTGGCTAATTTTTGTATTTTTAGTAGAGATGGGGTTTCACCATGTTGCCCAGGCTGAATACAACTTCTTAAAAACAAAGTTAGTCACCAATACCTTTATATGTAATGAGTTTATCCAAAATCAATATCTAAGGCTCCCTTTGTTTTACCTGAGGATACAACATCTAAAGTGGGGGATTTTAAACACTGAGGTGAACTTGCTGGACTTAACTAATCTTATATATTCCTGATAGAAATTAAAAGAGGGAGGAGTTGATGGGGAACAAAAAAAAGCAAGAGAATCTAGTTCTTATCTAGTCGTAAAAGGCATTCTCTTCCTGCCTGGTTTTTACCTCAATATGAGAGTGGCCATTAATCTCCAGCAAGTAGGCCCAACATGCCGAAGACCTGTCAGCACCATATAAACAGAATAAAGCAAACTGTTAATATTGCTGTCGTGAGAAAACTGAAAACAGACTGATTAATTGTATTGGCGCTCGACCGCCAGGGAGCCAGCTTTGGCCGTCGCCTTATTAGGGAAGTCACAGTTTGCTTTTAGGCCTTTCATTATGATGGCTGTCCGGTTTTCATCCTCACTGTTTTTGTTATTGTTGTTAAATGAACGCCTTGTTCTTGAACCCATGCTGCACATTTTGACTGGCAGGGGTGATTAGTTTAGAAAAAGTCAGTGTCCTCCCCGAAGCTTAAAATGTTTACAGTGCTGACAATTCACTGTTTCTGAGGACTCCCAGATGGCGGCCCTGCTGAATTAGTTCAAGGTCTAGTTAACTTTTCATGAGAAGAATTATTTACAGTGTCCACACACGAAGGTGCATGAAGAACTCTGTGGAAAATCTGGGCATACATGGCAATGTCAGGACACATCCGGATCGGCAGCTGTTAGGGAAATGTCTGGGAGGGACGTTAAGAACTGCTAGGAAGAGCCTCAGCTCTGGCTGAACACGGGAACGGCAGGATATGTCACACACAGGAGCAGTAGAATGTGTCGCCTCAAGGCCAGATTTGGCCAGCAGACATGTTTTGTTTGGCCTTACGGGGATGGCCCTACAAAGTTTTGAAATTGTGAAATAGTTGCCAACTTTAAAAAATCAGGCGTTTTCATGCACACACAAAGTAAAGCTTTCTGGTTTCTCTTGGGAAATGAGTTCTGATTACACAGAGCTTCCCTCATTCTGCGTAGCAGAGATCAGCTTTAGACACTCGACTCTCCGCTTTGCCGTAACTTCTTCTGCTCTAGTTTGTCTCCCCAAACCCAGTGCCACTTGGCATATAACACATTGCTGCCCTGTTTTTCTCATCTCCAGCCCATTTAATTCATTTATCATGGTTCCCCCGGCCTAGGCATTTAAGGTTTTAACTCCAAGGCCGTGTAATTAAATATTAAGAATAGAGTTTGCAGATGTCTCAGATACTAGATCCATAACTCAGTCAGGAAGTCCATCTCAAAGGATGCCGAACATCTAGATGTGGTTCTGTCAAAAGACAGACATGAATAGGCTTGTAGAACTGGAAGAAATAACACCAGGTCGACTTCAAAGTTCCTCAGAAGATGGGTTGGGGTGTTCTAAGGCTTGGGCTAGGCCGTTACAACGCGCCCCTCCGGCAGTTGCAGTCCAGTGATTTGAGGGAGGGACCATTACCTGGAGCAGCAGCCTCACCACAGAGCTAAAGATTAGAGCTGGGTTACCAAGCCCAGGTGGGGCAAACTGAGAAAAAAGAAACAAGTGAGGACACAAATGGAGGTGGTTTATTATAAACCCTGAGTTAAGTTGGACTGCCTGAGCTCAGAGCGTATTTCTGTCTCTGATAGCTTTCAGAGCCAGTTTTCTCACCTGGAGACAATACCACCTCATAAGGAAAGTGCGAGAATTCAGGGAGTTAATGCCCAGAACAGAGCAAGCTCTCAGGACATATTAGCTGCTATAACTCTTATTTTAAGCAGATCATAATTCAGGAGGAGCCAGGAGGTGAACAGGGGAGAAGAGGCAAAAGGAAGATGAGCCTGGAGGCCTCCAAGAGCCTGGGATTCAGGGAATTGCCACGCCTTTCTGTGCAGAGCACACAGCATCAGTAGAAGTTATGAGATGCAGACTCTGGCCCATCAGTAGTGATCCACCTGGATCCTTTAGGGACCATGCCCCTTAATCCTCCCTCCCTGCTTCTAGCATATTTAATTAATGTCATACTCCCTGAGTTTTTTTTTACCTGCCCTCTCACTAAAAAAAAAAAACCTCTCCCCTGTTCGTACTACCACCTAAGACCCCATCTTAAGCACTCAGAACTGTCTCCATTTCCCTTTTGCCCTACTCACTTCTGACGTGGCCCCTTGCAGGCTGACTGTGGATTGCACTCTTCTCTGACACCTTGACTTCCTGAGGCCCTTGTTTCTTTGGCTTCCTGGGCATTGTTGGTCACCATTTCTCCTAGACCTCCTTCTCCCTGTCCTTCTCTGCACTCTGTCCTGTCCGGGTCTCCCCCTTCTCCTTGCCCT